TATGAAAAAATGAAACAGATTAATAACTAATTGAATCGAGCGTTATGAAGTGAATTTTTGCATTATCATTTTTAGAAAAGCATAAACTAGTTATTGGATTGCAGATAAGTACTCTGGGTTCTCTTTAATCAAGATGGCATTATGTTTACAAATACGTGCAAAAGTTCAAGGGTAAAATAAGCGTGATTAAATAAAAATGTATTTTCATTTTTTTGAATAATAGTACCTGGAAAGAGCTTCTTTACATATGTGCTGCTCTATTGGTTTTAATTGGTTTAGTAATTGGTTGTGTTTTGGTACTCAGACTGATAATTCTGCGATCTAAACTTACCGGTATTGTAATTGTCAAAATAGTCAATTCTATTTTCTTAATCTGCTCTGATTTATTTATTAAGATCAAGCAGCAAACAATGGATTATTATCGACCACATCGCCTCAAATAGGTATGATGAAGAATATTTTTTGTGAACTAAGTTGTATTACCAATTAGTTGTTCTTTGAATCAAAGGGATCTGTGGAGCATTGCGTTTTGATCCTTCGCAAAGCACGTACCATAGAGAACTTCAACTCCGTCGTGCTGCTCATATAGATATTTTTTTAAGAAATTCTTATCTCGGCCTCATTTTGTTCATTCTTCATCACCCTACCACTCGCATGTAGGCAAACTTTATATATATATTCATCCATTTTATGATTTTCTTGATGGACACGGCCTCGTGCTCGTGAATCCAAGTAAGTTTCTATTCATCATATAATCACTTAAGTGTTAAGTTGTTTTTACGTTACAGAGTGAAATATTTGAAGAATAACACTTATGAGTTCAAATCTATTGACTAACAGCATAATTTTGTATTGACAAAATCTAGGGGTAGGACAGTTCTGTTCTTGTTAAAAGAACTGTTAAACAGTTCCCAAGAACGGAACTAATACGGAACTGTCCTACCCCTAGTAAAATCTTCTTTGCTGTTTCCTCTAGGAAAAGCAGCGGAGACATCAGTCTTGAAGACTAATAACGTCTTTCAAAGTCTCAAAGACACTGGTTGAGTGCTTCAAGTCTTCCGGAACTATTTAGTCTCATAAAGTCTCTAAAGTCTCACGAAACGTAGTGATAGCTCTTAAGAGATCTCCGAGCAAAAGTTTTCGACAACTCAAAAATTCTGAATACACTGATATTGGCTTATCCCTGATTAGTCTCGAAAACCTATTAAACCTTTCCAGGTTTCGATAAACCTTTCCAGGTTTCGATAAACCTTTCAGCTCCTACCTCAGTATCTACTACGTATGACTAAAAACTACGTCTAACCCCTTGTATCTATCATTGTCTCTTAAGCTTATATCAAACCTATTATTTTTATCCTCAACATATTAAATCTATATCTGACCCCAGGTACTATATTACTGTTCTGTACCTCTTAGATCTATATGCAATTCCTTGTTTTTAGTGTTAGCTACAAGGGGGAACAAACTGATTTCTTGATTTCCTGATTTCTTGATTTCTAATTTCATTTTCTTGATTTCTCATGATTTCTCGTGATTTCTCACGATTTCCTTGATTTCTTACGATTTCTCTTGATTTCCATTGATTTCTCTTGATTTCTCTTGATTTCTGTTGATTTCTCTTGATTTCCATCGATTTCTCATGATTTCTCATGATTTTTAATAGTTGATAGAAGCAAGCAAAACTCTCATTTTCTAACACGTTATTGTGATAGGTTTTAAAGTAACTGCATAGTTAGATAATCATTATATATACATGTAATTTTTATTAAACAAAATAACAAAAAAGTAGTTTGAAATTATACCGTAACACATATAGTGATAGGGTTTTTTGAACATACAAAACTACGAGAAAAAATTCATAAACCCCTAACTCGTGATAGTCTATCAGCTGATAACGTGTTTTTATCTTTTTCTAAAAGCCAACAAGCTGTTTGTTTATGTAAATATTTAATTTCATTGTTGATATTAACTTGAAAATATGTGTGAGCAAGTTCTTGCTTTACCTTGTCGAACACACGTATTCCTTGACCATTTTTCATGTTGGTAACATGAATACTATCATTACCATCATCTGATTCCAACAAATCATCACTATCATATCCATTTAATTCATTTATTGTAGTATCAGATATCTTACTATCTGAATCATCAGTTGCATCTTCATTTAGTTCAATCTCTGCCGACCAAAAGACTTCTAATTGTCGTGAAATGATGTTACTAAGATCATTTAATGTTATTATTTGACCATTTCGTTCAAAATGCTTGATTTTTAGTGGACTTAAAAGATGAACTACATATTCATATGCTTTATGGACGGCGTTTTCAATATTGATTTTAGAAACAACTGTTGTTTTTGATAATTCAAAAACATTTTCTGATGCTTTTGATAATTTGTGATGTTGTGGAAAACGTAAATGGTTTGAATTTTTATTATTTTTAATATTTTGCAATGTAGATAATTTGTTTGCTTGAGAAAGAAATTGTGAAACTGTAAAATTAACACCTGAAGAAAAATTGCTAGATATCGATCGTGCTGATCTGAATGTACTTTCACATCCTTGAGAATTCTGTAACCATATATTTAAAGCTTCAATAGTAAGTTGCTGTTCATTGACAAGCGTTGCTAGATAAATAAGACAATGAGCATTGATTTCGACGCAAAAATGTGATTGATATGTAATGAAATATTGTGATTTTGGTTTAACTTTTTCATTAAATTTAAATTCAAAATCAGATAATTGAGTAAGAATTGTGTCAAGACTTTTTTTATTCATTTCGTTAATCCATAAACACCAGAATCTGAATATAAATACAGCTATCCACCCATGAAAAATACGATCCATGATACTGGTTGTTTTTTCAATGTAAGCAAGTCTTACACTTTTAATAGCCTATAATAAATAATCATAATTAAAAATTATTTTAGTAGAAAACTTCAAATACTAAACAATATTTGTTGTCATATTCTATTATTTAGTAATATACGATTTAGTCTCAGGATATATAGAAAGAAATTTTGTTAGCTTTATAGAAATGTGCTGAGGATATTAGATTATAGTAAGAAGTAATGCAGTGATACAATCTGCTCATAGTTTTATTTATGTTACTCTTATGTATTTAAAAAATCTTTTTTATAACCCATAGAACAGGTTTATATTTTAAGTTTTAAGAAGATCGAAAAATCCTTCAGCTAATTTAATAGAGTTATTGTTTATTACTTGTAAATAAATACGAATTCCCAAAGAATTTGGAACTTGTTCAAGTAGATTCAATACAGCATCACTGGAAATTTTAGCAGCAGAATTAAAATTTTGTCTGTCCTTCGGATTAATGTCCGATCGGACAAGACCATGATCGAATTTTGAGAAGTTATT